TCGGGAGCGGGACCACAAAAAACCGACGTGGGCGTCTCCTAGCTTGCCTAGCCCCTAGCCAGACCGCCATCACCCACTTTGCGCCGCCAGAGTGGAAAAACGGGGAAAACGGCAGAAGCTTTCCTACGGCATGGCTAAATGGAAATATCAAAATTGGGAGCTTAGCCCTTTTCCCAACCTAAGATTATGGCTTTTTAGGTAGTCGGAGACCGATTTCTTCATAACGTTTTTCCGTATCCTGCTCATCCTCTCGCTAACCCTCTCTCCCTCTTTGTCCGTTTTTCTGTGCATTTATTGCTCTTGGCAAATTTGGCATTATTTTCACTTTCTAACGCCTCTAATTCCCCAAATTTTGACACCCAGGCGAAAGCAGCGTTGCCCCCCATAAATCCGTCATCTAGGGTGCGACCCCATATTCGATCTATCTCCTCTCGTCCCCCCCTCCGGGGCTTGTCAAAGGGATCTCGGCCTTGCAGCCTACAATAGACCCCAGGAAGGGGAAGCGCTAGGCCACGAGACGCTCCTCCCGAGACGAGTGGGTGTGATTTCGTTTTTCAATGCTCTGGGATTTCCGGAAGCTCATTAAAACTAAAACCCTTCAAAAGTCTCGCTTTCGCTCGCGCTCTCTATCTCCCGCCCTCTATCGCACTCTTTCTCCATGTTTTGGCTTTCGTTGGCTCTTAGTCGTTTCCAAAATTTCTCGCTCTCGCTTTTTCTCTTGTTCTCTCCCCATCTTGTCGATCTTCATCCCCTCGCGCTCCCCTCTCTGTGTGTCTCGCTCTCGCTCTCTCGCTTTCTCTCTCAGTCAGCAGGCTATTTTTGCTGGCACTATCCCTTTAAAACCACCAAATTTCCTAAGATTTATGCAGGCTTGGCATAACCGAATTTCGTGGAAATAGGTGTCAATAGAAACCTTCGCAGACACTTCCAAAATTTGCATTTATGCTAATCAAGGAACCATCTAAATAAATCCCGCGACTACAAGCCGCTCCCCTGGCACGATTCGGGGGAGTGTGATTTCATTTTTCGACAGTCCTTCGCCCCCTCTTGCTCCCCGCATCCAACAAGCCATGCCCCCCCCAGGTCATCCGCCCTGACTCCTGCCCGAAATCCGGTTTTCCGAAATCCAGACCCCGGGTCTGTGCCTTCGGGGCATCGAGAGGACCACTGGATATACCCACTTTCTTCTCGTGCTTCTCTCTCTCTCGCTCTCTCTTTCCTCGATCCAGTCATCAATATCGATTGTTTTTCGGGCGGATGAATTGGCTGGGCTGAATTTCTGGAGCCAACCTGAAGACTGGATCGATTTTCGGGGTTCCCGAATGATTAGCCAGTTTTGAGGGCAGGGCTGCCTGGCTGGGATGCTCGGAGATCTGAAGGAAAATAGGCTATAATTTTCGATGATTGATTTATTGCAGAAGTTTATCATTTAACGCTCTGTTTAACGAAAAAAATCCTACTGTAGCAACGTCACGGAATCGTTACCGTGGCTTTTGGAGTCCGAAAACTTCCATAAACTCGCTTGCACCCCCATAACCGCCCGTTTTTATGATTTGTTACTTTTGGCGTTTTACATGGTTTTAGATAATTTTTATAAGATTTAAATCGTAAATAAAAACTGAAACCGGTTTTTATGTGGGTTTCTATGTGCACTTTAGTCTAGAAAACTTGGCTTTTCAGAAATATTTCAATGCTTGTTGCGTTTTTTAATTGTTTTCATTTTAGTTGTGTGTTTTTTATGAATATACATGCTTTCCTACACACTCTATAAACCAAACATTTTCAGCAATGAGGTTACAATTGATACTGGGCCTATTTTTGGTCGTACACCTCGCCAATGGTCAGGCCGCCCCAAATACTGTAAGTTTATCTTTTTTATACGAACTTATTGATTTAGTAGTAGTAGTAGTAGCACTTTTACAAGGTGTCAACGTATTAACAGACTTAACAGACACCTCCGAAATTCTAGATTTTATTTTAAGGATACCCCACCCCGCCGCCAGCCCAGAAGACGAGCAGCCAGATGACACTGAAGACGCCTTTTCAGTTCACTGAAGAGGCTGCTTTCCACGATATAGTAGGCCGCATTTTTATGGATTGTTTATATTTACTGTGTTTTAGAAAACCCTGCCGCAGGTCCCTGAAGATAAGAAGAAGGTATAAAAATAGCGGAATTTCTTAAATTCCATATTTCCAGCCCGAAAAGGACAGCCACGAGCCCTACCGGCGCCCCGCCGATGCACGAGGTTTTTGATGTTTAAAAATACACAGAATATTTTTTTTATTGTATCGAAACTATTTTTAGTCGTAGTTATTGAACTTGGATAAGAAAAATTATTTAAAATTATTTCCTAGGCGGAAAAGAATCGCTTTAAAATACAGGAATCGACTGGTAGGCGTTTAACGGATTCGTGAGAACAAAAAATTCATTCTTTTGCTTAATTGAATATGAAATCGAGATTAAAAGGTATTAATTATGCCAAAAATGTTAATTTAGATAAAACTACAAAAATTCATTTAACTAGAGCAGCGAAAGATTTTTTATTTTTGGTTTTTCAAAGCACTTTACATCACAAAAAAGTCTAAAAAACCCCTCAAATGAATTATAACATTTTTTTATTTTAAAAAACAGCACCCGTAATTGGTATTTTTGTGAAAGTAGGACACCTCAAAAATCCGAAAAATCCAACAATCACCAAAAAACACAAAAATATGTCACCTAGATGGGTATTGTTTAGCACTCACACCACATGCACGACGGCGAGATCAGCAGCAAGGCTATGGACGAGCCTGCACCAGTTCCGGACCCGGCACCCACCTCGAAGTCGACGGAAACCCAGGCTTGGAGCTTCTGAAGCCTCGGAGTCTACTGAAGCCGACAGGCCAGCTTCCGCCAACACCAGTGACAACGGGAAATCGGAAGAAGAAGAGGAGGTTGACTACGAGGTGCCTCCGGAGAAGCAGGTCCACCATGAGCACCACCACGAGCACGAGCAACACCAACACGAGCAAGGTCATCAACACGAGCAAGTTCAAGAGACGATGATGACCGGGGATTCTGGCTTGATGCCAAATTCGGCCGGACCCAGCGATTCCGGATTAATGCCAAATACCGGAGGACCTATGGATTCTGGGCTTATGCCGAATTCTGGGGGCCCAACTTCCGATGTGAATTCTGGAGACACTGGAATGTCAAAATCTGCACCTCCACCTCCCCCTCCACCACAACCCGTGCCCGAACCGGCACCCACCCACACACATTCGGTGAGTTGAAATATGCAAATCTTGGCACCGGATTACGAGAAAGTCACGAAATTTGTGATTTTAGTTGGTTTGCATACAGAATTTTGAGTCGGTAAAATGAGTTTGCTTTGTAAGGCACGGAGATGACTTCGAACCATTTTCACTTGTTTTATTTTAAGTTAAATTTGAATCCGGGGGGGGAATAAGTTCGTTAACGCCAGGATTGCACTGGAAGCTTCTCGAAACCAAAAAAATCGCAAAGCGGTTTGAAGTATTTTTAATATATTGTTGAGCATAAGTTTAACCTTAATATTTCTTTTTTCGATTTTGTTTAATTTCGTGCTCAAACTCTAATTTTATTAAGTTTGTTGTGTGTGTGGAAAACCCAGTAATTTAGACAAAACTCTAGGAAACCTGGAAAAATTTGGAAAAAGGTACTCAGATCTACTTTATTTTTATCCCCTTCCTTCATTAAAAAATTTACTAAAGTTACATTATGGCGTACAAACAATAATTTTAAACTTAAAAGTTAATTATACATCATTTCAGACCAAGGAACCGGTGCCACTTCCCGAGCCGGCCATCAAGTTCGACAACATCAAGGACGAGGACTACGGAGACTAACGTTTTGGGATACAATGTAAGCTGAAGCTGCTCTCTCTCTCTCTTTCTCTCTCTCTCCCTATATCGCTCAATTTCTCTGCTAATCTCTATCTCCTCAAAATCTTCTTCAGACCAAGCCCGCCGACATTGACAACGAGGCCTGGTCGCGCAGCTCGTCACCGCGACCCTGAGGGGCCTGATACGGTAAAATTTGCATTTTAAAGGGACGTTGAAGGCAAATCAGGCAAACTGTCTTCCATCAATTAAATTTGGAGCTTAAGAATAAGCCTGGCCTCAAGCTCGCTAATGAGGCCGCCTGAGAAGTGTCAACTCCAGCCCCTATTGGCTTGGACTAAGGGGCATTAAGCTGGCTGGATCGGTCAGGATCCACCCTGAGGAGGCCAAGATGCGGCGCGATGGGTAGTACCTGGAGGCGAGAAGGCGCAGCAACAGGTGGAGCATCAGCATTGCGAACCCTTAAAGCGGACGGGAAACACCTTAAAAACCGAAAAATTTCAACGGAAATTAAGGAAAGCTTGTTGAAACCCGTGTTTTTTCAGGGTCACCACCGCCGGGTAGTGACCTTTAGCTTCACCCCGATCTCGGGAGACCTGAGGAAGGTGCTGGCGAGGCTCTGTATGTAAAAGTTCGTTCCACGGCCGCTCTCGCCGTCTCTCTCTCGCCTGCTCTGTCTCTCGACGAACCCAAATTTCAGGAGGTCATGTCCCGCTTGTCCGCTCCACCTCCATGCAGGCCAAGGAGTTCGACAGCTCGGTGATGCCGGGAGGAGGCCCTGTCAACTCGAAGTCGCAGGATGAGCAACAAGCTTAGATGCAACGCCAGCTGAACTAGCGTCTCCCTTCGAGGGGATGAGCGCGTTGAGTGAGAAGGGATCATCAGGCGTACACTTCCAGCCCAAGATCACGTAAGTTATAGAAGAGCATAAGAAGCCTGGGCCTAAGCCAAAGCTCTATGTAAGCTTGAGCTCAAGCAAGCCTAAATCTAAGCCTGAATATAAGCTTTTACGCCTACGCCTAAGCCAAGCTTAAGCCGAAGCCAGAGCCCAAGCCTGTCCTGAGCCCGAAGCCTAAGCTTCCAACCCCAGCCTAATCCTAATATAAAGCCTAAGCAAAAGCCTATTGAACTGTTTTCAGGACAACCAGCAAGTCTCCGAGACGGTCACCTGCGAGAAGGACATCAGCCTTGCGGACTCAAGTGGGTTTTTGAAGCGTAAATTTAGAGCTCGGAACTACGGTAGTTCCAAAATGTCCACCTAAACCCCTCAAACTCATTCATCTACAGGAAGAGCGACATCTCCTCCATGTTCACCGCCGACATGGACGCCGGAGCACCTCAAGTACCTGTGGACGGCGTGGATTAAGAACGTCGCCAGGCTTGAGGCCCCAGTACAAGGGCTGCTGGATTTGAGCAACACTGGTGAGTGCTGTTTTCAAGCCATATTCCAACGAGACCAAGCAGTTCAAGCCAGTTCACCCCAAATTTTTAGCCGCCAAGCTCAACGGGTTCGCCGACGGTGGCGCGATGTGGCGCAGCGCTTTCGACCTCTCGAACAAGAACACCCCACCCAAGTTTGACCTGAAGGTGAAGGCCCAGGAGATTTACGACAAGGTCAAGCCGTTCTACCAGCAGGTAGGTTTTCATGGTTTTGTTGCATAGCGGGCGCGTCGCGGTTATGCGCCAGATAATAATGTTGCGTGTACGGTTTCGTAACTATGAACTCCATCAGCTCCATGCCTACATGCGTCGCCAAATCGCTGGCATCTACAAGAATCCCCGCCGGGCTCACCAAGGACAGACCGATTCCTGCGCATCTTTTCGGAAGCACTGGTGGGTTGGAGGGGGAGATGAGGGAGAGAGAGAGAGAGAGAGAGAGAGAGAGAGAGAGAAGAGAGAAAGCGAGAGAGATAAAGAGCACAGATCATACTGGAATCTTTCAGAAGGAGGCGAGTGGGCCAACCACTACGACCAGACGAAGCCCAACTTCGAGGACGACCCCGTTTCATCTGAGATTCTCGAGGCCATGCAGGCACAGAACTACACCTCTAAGACCATGTTCATCAAGGTAAGTATAGATTCTATGTACAATACGGTTTCTTACATACCTCGGATTTTACGTAGAAGGGTCGTAGACACCTAGAAGTCACTACACAAGCACTTGAGCTCAAGTTGGCTCGCCTAAAATTGTGAAGCTTGCATTAATTGACCATTCTGAAGCGTTTTTAACCCCAGTATAATTTTCCGGCCTACCGCTACATGAAATCCGTTGGGTTCCCGTCACTCCCGAAGACTTTCTGGACAAGCTCCGTGTTCCAACGTGTATGGTCAAAGGATATGCTCTGCGACCCGGCCGCCGCTTTCGATATGCGTGACGGAAAGGACTTCAGGTCTCGCGTTGATCTCTCTCGCTTTTTCGATTTCTCGCTCTCTCCCTCGCTCCCTCATCATCTTGTTTCAGAGTGAAGGCCTGCGCCCAGATCGGCGAGCCCGACTTCAAGCTGGCCCATTCTCTGTTGGCTCAGGTCTACTACCAATACCTCTACAGGACTCAAGCAGGAGCTTTCAGGTATGTTTTTAAGGCTTAAAAACTACTATCTAAAATCGATAACCAACATTGAATTTTTAGGGAATCCGCCAGTCCTTCCATCAACGAGGCCATTGCCGCTGTTTTCTCGCATCTGGCCTCGAACCCGAACTATTTGTATTCTCAGGTAACAATTTTTTTAATACTTTAGCTACAACCTTTATTACTTTTATTATCTTTATTATTTTAATTAATCTTAATATAACCTTTTCAGCAACTCCTCAGCCACGAGCACCTCGAGGTCAAGGAGTCCACAATTGTCAATAGGCTGTACAAGTGGGTAGCTTTTCGATGAGGCCATTGATTACAGAATTACATGGCTGCAATTTAGGCTATAAAATACACTGCGTTAGATAGAAAATTCAGGTATCTTTTTCTAGGAAGCCCTTGATAACATCGCCAAAATCCCGTTTGCCGTCACCGCCGACACGTGGCGATATGACATTCTGGAGGGCAAGGGACCGACGATGACAAGTGGAATGAGGGAGTGGTGGAAGTTAGGTGGGCTGTCTTCTCTCTCTCTCCTATCCTCGCTCTCTCTCACTCACTCTCGCTCCCCTTCCCTCTCTCTCACTCTCACTCTCCCCTTTTCTCTTCTCTACCTATCTTTCTCTGACTCTCTCTATCGTCTTATTTTCAGAGAAACCTTCGAGGGAGTGAAGGGCCCCGGAGGAGAAGATCATGCCTGCCCAGACCGACGCCTTCATGCATACCCAGATCAACCAGGTATGTAGGGTACCTTAAGGCTGGTGTAAACTTCGCTAAGAATACAACTAAACCTAGTAAAAAAGGCTATGAAAACTTCGCTTTAGGTCCACTCCCCGCCATCCGGGAAATCTGATTTCCCTACGTTGCGCAGTTCCAGATTCTGAAGTCGCTGTGCCCTCCGGATACGGAATTGGTAAGGGTTTGGCGGAATTGATGGTGTCGAAATAGCGTGGAATTTGTTGGCCGCTTTCTTATGGAAATTCACGGAAAGCATGGCGTGGCGCTGCTAGATACAACTACAAAACGTGCGTAGCGTAACGCTCACACTAGCGTAACACCGTCACACGCTCACCTTTTGGATTTTTGCAATTCGTTGAAACATGTCAAATATTCCCTTATTCCGATGTCACTAACCCTTTAAACCCTCTAACCTTCACAGGCTCGAGGGGCTGTATCCTCTCTCCGAAGACACGACCTTCAAACCACGCGAATAGACACACATTATAAACATAAAAATACCCTGGCCAAGGGCTCATCCATTGACTGGCTGATGGCCCTGGAGATGTTGACCGGAATAGGGTCGATAGTAGCGCCATTGAGTGTATGTCCTGGAATTTTAGTCGAGCTTCGCTGCCCACGCCCCTGCTCGACTACTTCGGCTGTTGATCACCTAGCTGGAGAACGCGAACGAGATCAACCAGGTCTACGTTGGATGGGATGGCGAGGGACCGAGGTTCCAGGCGTAAGTGTGTTTGGAAGGAGAGAGAGAGGGAGAGAGAGAGAGAGAGAGAGAGAGAGAGTAGAGGCATTTTTCATCACTTAAAACGACGACACCCTATGAACATCTTTTTAGTGACGATCCCGGAAATCCAATCTGGACGGCAAGGTCTCATCTGGAATTTTGAGCGAGGACAAGGTGGAGTTCTCCGGTGAGTTCAAAAACTCACATTCTAGAGTCTTGCGGCGATTTCAAGGAGGTGCCTGTACTAATGTGCGAGGACTGGGCCTCTGATTCATCACTTGTGATGGTAAGGTGGGATTTACAAAATTATAAATAAAGGTCGTAAATGTGGCCTAAAAGAAATTTTAAAGGCTTCTATGTTCAAGAGTCAAGATTAAAAACACCGTTCTACGTTAGGTTGTGTCTGCAATCGAAGGCCTCTTCACCTCAAGTTCGACAACACTGTCTCGTGCGTCGTGTCGAACCGAATTGTCAAGTGGGATTTACTGGCGGCGATGGAGATGACAGACATTTAAGGATTTATTTTTGTTGGCGGCTTTCCTCCAATCGAGGATGGAAGAAGGTCTAACTTTGGTCTTCGGCAGGAACTAACAAGGCAACTGCAATGTAAATAATAGTTCATCGGAGTGAACCTCGTTCCGTCGGAAACCACGACGACCGAGGCCCTTGGAAGGTGACGACTAGGGTCACCACTCTCCCGGCCGATTACGGTAGGATTTCAGGAAATTGTGATCAGTATGCTAGCAGAGATCCCTTACAGTTGAAAATTCGAAGTGAGGCTTATATTAGTACCTGGGGAAAGTAAACGCCCTTTGCAGGGGTAAGCTGGGAAAGGTATCAGGAATATTGATAAGTCGGACCATTTCGTCTAGTTTTCATTAAATTTATCTGTCTAACGTTATGAGAGACAGGTAAGAGAAAAGATCATTGAGGGAGTACGGAGACTCATTAGTGTTGAATAGGCAGGCGTAGCAAGCGTAAAACTACTGCTAACACAGGGCGGGCTAGCAGAGACTATTGGAGGAAAGGCTGTCACTAACGTAAAACCAAGATTTCTACACTTGTAAACTGAGAATAAAGGCTAGCCTGAATGGGGAACGCTTTCAAAAACTCATGGTTCACTTAAGAAAACATAGGAAAATTTTTAATAATCCGAACTTTCAGCGTTCCGCCACCACCGCGTTCGGCTTCGGTTTCTTGATCGCGCTGCTCTGCGCGCTGTTTCTAAATTTGAAATAGTTTTTCACGCTAATTTAATGCCCTTGCTCCAACCCAAAACCCGTGTCCTGATTGCCACTAGATTGGCTTTTCCTCGCCTTGTATTAAATTGCCTTTACCCGTCCTTGACGGAACGTGTGCTCATTCCGCGTGTAATTTCTGCGCGCTTCCGCCGGAAGGATATTATCGATTGAATGTCGTGATATTCTACAGTACCTTTTTCCTGCATTTTTAACGTTATTTTGAAGTGTCTCACATATCAAAATTATTTTATTGATTTTTGAATGTCCATTGAAGGGGAAGAATAATTGAACAAACGGTATTCAAGAAGACAGAGATAAATATTTGAAAATTGAATTTTATGATTTTACTTATTTATAATGGGAGATTATTTTAATGAAGTTAGTTTTATTTACTTAAAAATTATAAAATAAACTAAGGGAGGAACCTAAGAAAAATCACTAAAACCTGCTGCTCGACTGTTTTCAGATCCTAAACTGAGGCTTGGGCATTTGAAGGTTATGGGGATTTAAAAATGGCTTTTACGATTATTTGAATAGCTTTGAATAATTTGATTAGTACTTTTGAGGGTTAATGTAATATCCTAGTAGGGCACTTTCTAGGCTTAGCATTGCAATATTCTAAAAGTGGTACTGACTGTATGGCATTTTTCAAAAAGTTGAGCCACCATTTTTTAGAGAAATTTGACTAGAAGAGGACAGCCTAGCATTGGATCCTATTTGAGAACTGCAAAGCCAAGATTACGGTAAGAATTCAAGAAAACGAAAAGCCTGACACTGGTCGGAATTGAACTGTGAACCCAAAAAAATATTATCTGAAAAAAATGGGAGACTAGAATTACTAAAACTAGATCACTAAACGTGGATTTTGGTGTAGGGTCTGGTGTCGGAAGTGATAGTTAATGAAATTTTAGTCTGGCTTTCCAAATTGGAAAATTCAAAGCTGGTACAGCTTTTGTACCCTAAAAATTAAGGTGGGAAGGTTTCTGAAGGCTGCCTCTCGCAAAACTACTGGGAAAAGTACAAAACTACGGCTCACAAAGTGCCAAGCTTCTGGGGGTTTCGGGTAAGGAGGCATAATTTGCCATTAAGAGCTCAGAAGACAGCCTCGACAAGATCGACTTGTCCGATTCTGAATAATAACCCAAGCGTCGTCGGCCATTTCTTCTTACAGAAGTGAAGCGGACGCGTTTTGATTGAACAGGTCGAGCACGAGCTGGGTTACTCAAAACCTCAGGGGCCGCGGAACTTGATTAGATGGCTAGTCAAAACACTTATATTCTTTCAATCAATGTTTTAGAGACAACATTAAATGCTATTCTTTACCTGTTCTTTAAAGTAGTATGGAAGCCCTCACTCGAGCATCAAGTTCCTGAGAAAACTGAGGGTGATGGATGGAGACACAGCCTCCGGAGATGTTGGGGTGGTAAATGTGCGATGAAGCCAAGCTGGGGTACTGGAATGATAATTGGGCGGTTATGTAACGTAAAAATGGCTGAGTTTGATGGCATGCATTGGCATTTAGCGTTATGGCAAGTCTGCGCTACTAAATTTGCATGTTTGCGCTGCTCCTTCATAACACGAAACTCATACATACGCCTAATCCTAAGCGAAGCTTCCAAGCAAAGCTCATGTTAAGTCTATGCTAAGCCTATGCGAGCCTTATGAGGTGCTTCCACGCCTAAGCCTCCTGCTGCCCTGAACTAAAGCTACAGAAAGGTGTCGATAAAGTTACTCGTAACCTCGGCCGCTTCGCCTCGTAGCATACCCAAATAACAGTAGATATCGTTGAGTACTTCATACTCTGAGACAACAGGAAATTCTTCGTCACTGAGTAACCGCTGATGGTGAAATCAGATCCCCTGAAGGTCCAGCAAAATAAAGTCGAGATATTTGACGTCCTCCGGTAGCCGAGCCAAGCACCTGGAAGTGTAGAGGTGTGCCTTTAGCGGATATGCAATGCTACGCAAGGTTTCGTATGGTTGTGTAAAAAAGTTGTAAGTACCGACTCACCCCTCTCATCCTCAATTCGTCCTCAGCTATCTCCCGATTGATCTCATCCTCGAAGAAATTTACCGTTGTCGTCGTAGGCCTTGAAGAAAGTCGTTGGGTTCCTAAAGGCAGTCTGCATCAGGTTTCCTAGCAGGGCATGCGCCAGAATTTTTGAGCCAAAACCCGGCGATGCTCATCTGCGCAGACAATCTTCTGGAAAAAATGAAAAATGATGTTCCGGCACTAAAAACGGAGCTTCGGGATGCTTTTGGGAATCAGAAAATTACAAGAAAGTTTGAGCTTTAACACCGCAGCTTTGATCTAAACTGGGTAAAACGACATTAAAGCCTCTGATGCAGAACAACTTCTGCCAAAACCTTCATTGGCGCACTGACATATATCGCTTCTGGTCTCGACGACAGGCGACCTAAAAACGACATTTTCTTAAGGGAATTCTGCACATTTTAATACGAAAATTCTGTTCTGGATTATGTCTAGCTTATGTTGCTACAATTTCAAAAGTGATCCCACCTGTCTATTCCTGGCTGCTTCATAGCCCTGCCGTGGCAAAAACAGGAGCTCATCACTAGCGATCTCATAGTCTGGAGCGGAGGGGTTCTCGTCAAGCGAAGTTTATGTTCCCTACGGCCGACATGAAGCGACTCGTCGGAGAGTGACGGACAGGGTTTTCGTCCTCATCGACGGGGCTAGCTGGTGCCGCTTGCCGAGGGAAACGCCCGAATCGAAAGTGATTACAGGAAATCATTTTCCTCCCTGCAAAAAAGTCGGCAGGATCGAAGATAGTATAGTAATGTCGTATTAATGATAACAGAGGGTTAAACTCGGTTACGCGGGTGCGCAGCTATTTTCTTTAATGGGTTTTGGCATTAATTAGTCTTTCAATATTTTCACGTCAGCAGGAAATCCTAGAAAAGCAGAGAGTGCTGGAATGCTAATGAGCAACAGCTTACCGCGTCTTCCGCCTTCTTGCGATCGAACCTCCTTCTTGATCACTCGATCTGAATCGGCCTCTGACGAATCGAAGCCGATCGAGTGGGACTGCGGCAAGACTTTCAGCACGTTGCCGATCCCTTTCAGAGCGATTCTTGATCATCTCCAGCCTGTTCATGGCTTTCGGCAGGGAGAGATGCTGCGCGGGCAGCTGCCAGCCTGAAAGATTTTATGTTCAGCGCGGATGTATGGCACCGTAAAAATACAGTTTTAGACATCAAAGGGAAAAAACGCTTTAATGCGATTAACAGCCTTAAATATTTGCTCACTCCAAAGAGAGTACCGCCTCATTCGGTGGTACGCTACCACTGATGGGCCCGAGACGTCTCCTCATCGACTGGCGAGACGGAGCGGTGCGATAGGCTAAAACTCGGTGATTTAATGGTTTATAACTTTCTAAATTTCCATATACAAAAATTACGGCATTTTTAACTCAATCACCACTCTTTAACTACTTCGATCCGAATCCAAGATAGGTTCGAGGTAGAAGTCCGTGATTAGCGACTTTAAAATTTCTACAAGAAAGATTGACGGCAAAGAAGCGGCTTTTTCGGGTTGGAGAAAAAGCCTTAAATATTGTAATGTGATTGAACTACTGCTAAACAAATAAAGAGTTAATAAACGAAGCAATTTCACGCCACTTTAAATCAGAATGCCGTTATTAAAGTTATAGTGGATGACTTCAAGAGATATGGTACAAAATTATAGCTTTAACTTACTGAATCGAAAGTTTGGAAACATTCAATAAACAATTATTGCACAATAAAAAAAAAATAACGGACTGGTTGAATTGCGCGGCAAACGCCGCGATTATAGTTTGCCACTTTTACTCCGCGCGAAATGCGGCCAACATATGGCTTTCTAACTTTCTTTGAATCGATTGTAGTTACAAGCTCTCTATAGAACGATTCATGCTCGTCATTACTAACCTTTATCCACCAGCTCAACAAAATCACGCTGATCCCGACGCCACCGGCACCGAGAGTTGAACTATGTCGGTATTTCTTCTTTTCCTGGAGATACTACCGCCGACCTCATGTGGCTTAGTGTTTGACACGCACCGTTGGTAAACTACCGGAATTTTTAGTAGCTTTTCGAATTGATTTCAAGAACTTTAAATGAAATTTCAGAACAGGGGATTTCCTTGGCGGGGAAACCCTGCATTCGAGAGTCAATAAGAGGACAGGGGGCACCCAAAGACACTTCATTGGAGGCGCCATTTCATTGGGCCATTGTAGCGGAATTGCCAAGTAATCCAGCTGCTCGATCAGCGGATTCTCGCCGCCGTCAGTTTTTTCACCTTTTCACATTGCGGCGGGGATTTTTCATTTCATTTTCGGTAAGCAAAAAATACAAATTAAGCATTTCACACTCAAAGGTTCGCTTCTCTTCCTTGCCCAGCCAAGCAGTTACGCCATGTAAATAAATCGTTTTAAACTAACCAAAAATCTTTAAATTTGTCGGTTTAGATTCCTGGGGTGCATTCCCGGGGGAAACCTAATTTTTCCTTGGGGTCCCGGTTACACCTAGTAATCAAATAGTAAAGTGGTTGAATTGTTTTGGTGTTTTGAACTATATTTAAACAGAATAACTTTAGGAAAATTTAGAAAATGTTTGAAAAGTCGAAAATTTGGTCATTTTGGGTCCTCCACTTTTCGACCTAATTTTTAATTTTTTACATTTTTGGTTAAAATGTGTAGTTTTTATGCACAGGGATAGTTAAAACAATTTAAACATCCGGCAATTTATAAAAATTAGCTGCCAAAATTTGTTTTCCCCTGGGAATACTTTCCCTGAATCCTAAAGAAAATCCAATTTGTCTTGAGTGCAATCGGCTACAAAGTATTTCATCTTGCTCTCCGAATTTGCTCTTTGCTCTTTAAAGCCCTAGATTTTTTTAAGTTCAGGTGATCCCAAAGGATTTAGATCCAAGGCTAGAAGCGAATTCGGCCATGACCTCAGACGAGTAATGTGCTCAAAAACTGTCTTCCTAAGGAGTTATCGTTATCCTCCTTGCGCTCTCTTCTCGGATGTCGAGGCGATTCATTAAATGTAAGTGTCTTGTCATTTCCGACAGTATCGCTAAACGTAACCGGACATGGATCGACGTTACAGGGTGATCGGGCCTCGCCAGCGCTGAAAATTCGCTATAATTCGTTATTTTATGTCCTGTTTTTAGGCCACGAACAATAACACATCTTCGAGGGCTGAATTCGAAAAATCGTTGCGGGGGGTAATGGAACGGAAGACATTACGGCTATCCACCGTAAGTATAAATTTACGCCTGTTTCTCCTTGATTTTTAATCGAGTAGTGGTTAGTCTGATGAATTTTTGCACCTTTTATATATAATTTCTTGACCCTGAAATGCTTGCCTAAAGAGGAAACCTGAATGCTATTAAGGCATAATGGGTGTGGTAGATTACAGTTTCCCTCGCGAGTTCCTGATAAAGGCTTATCACACTTTCTTTTCCATTATAGGACAATGACGCATCGCGTATAACTTCTTGGTCCACCCATCTAAAAAGAAACATGACGACTTTAAAAATACGATCGGTTTCCGGAAACAACCCAAAATTCAGGCGTCGACGTCCCGGTGAAGGACCACACCGTCGAGGCGATGGCTCGCCACACTGGCGATATTGATTTTGGGCGTTGGTGCCTGTTACTGTATCCATCTGTATCGCCGTGAGCACGAGCGTACGCAGAGACGTCAAATTGAAACCAGAACAAGCCAAGCAGGTGCAACTCAAAACGTATACGAAGGTGGCGCCCGGGCGATACCGAATTGTTTTTGCTGTTGTTTCCATTCCATTTGCTCCACAAATATTGCTCAACCTACATGGAATGTTCAAAACTGTTATACCAAACCTAAGCGCTCTATCCAGGGTGCTATTCTTTCTGTAAACGATACTTCGCCTGCGATTGCCATAATAAAATTAATTTCAATCAGCTGACGCTGCGGTCAATAACGATCCTCAATGAATGAAAAAACTTGCGCCAACTTGAACAGTTGTTCATACTCA